CACAAAAAATTGCTGGAAATCTCACTAAGCTTGGAGCTTGACTGTGGACCTGGATCTCTGTTGAAAGCTTATCTATATCGGCATGCCTCCCCGCCACCCCAATTTCCGCTGGGCAGAAACCAGGCCGGTTTGGATCAGTGGTTTGCCCAGCTCAGAGAGACTCAGGACGCACCTGTGCAATCTGATGGCGCGGAGGCGCCGTGGATGGCCCCTCTCTGGGAGCCCTGCCACGTGCTGGTGTGCGCTGGTGGGAGCAAGTGCTGCTGTTCCCCCTCCTCCTGGAGAGAAGTAGCACAACAGGAGCTGCTGGCCTTGACCCTTAGCCTAATCCTGCTGCTCACAAACAGCTCAATACCTGGCAAAGGGGCTGTTCTGCTCTTTGCTGAATGACAGCTGCAAGTAGCTGTATGAGGAAGCCATATGTGCGGTGGTTGTTGCTATCCTATAGGCTTATGATAGAGGTTTCCTCTTCCTTTAATTTCTCTGTTTATTACCAACACTTGGACTAAACCTGTCATGCTGGTTCTAGCAAGGGCGGGGGGGGGGGAGAAAAATTTGTTTCCAAACTACCTGCCATGTGCTTTTTCACACTGTGCCTCTGTACCGTCCCATTTGTTTCTGCAGCCAACAACAGCCTCCAAGAACCACCCTGGCAGAAAAGGCAAGCTGAAGAAACACCGTGGAGTAGGGTTTTTTTTTATTAATCCTACGGGCTTCTTTTCCATAGACATTTCTTACTGTGTAGAAAAGTCTAACATAAGAGGCTTTTGCAGAGGTGGGGGCAAAGCCACTGCTTGGGAGTAGAGAATGGTACAGAAAGCTCAAGCTCATGGCAGCAGAAGTGAAGGAAATGTTTAGGCACACACCTACAAGAAATGCCTGCTGTGCAGCTGCCTGCAAAACAAAGCACTAGGAGGTGTCTTCTATCTGCATTCAATTGTCATGTACAAAGAGTTAGCATGTATGCGTTAATGTGGTTCTGCCAGGGCCACCTACAAATGAATGAAATCTGCAATAACGTACTGAAGTAGTGTTTTAAGATGCAAGCATGAAGTCAAGTGTTACCTTCCAACCGCTTGCATCAGCTTCCCAGCTGAGTCAATAGCTTGCTGCCAAAGGGAACCATTGAGTCCAGAGGGCAGCAGGCTGCGTATTAACCAGCAGTGAGGGGTGCTAGCAATAGCATCAGCACAAACATGTTCAGTCCTCCAGCAGCTGCAGAGATTTCTGAGTAAACAGGAAAAAAATAAGTCCATTCAAAAAAACATGAGTTGTCATGCACAGAACTGCTGCTACTTCCCTTCCTCGCTGACAGGTTTAACTACAGCATCTTGTCATCTTGCCTTCCAGTTTCATCTCTGAGGAAGTGACAGTAGGCAGCTGTAACTGGTGAAAAGCTTAGTTTGATCTTTTAAGGGGGATGTCCAGATTTCAGCAACCCTCTAATTCCTGTCATATTTCATTCCTTCTTCTCCCTACAAAATTTCAGCAGCAAAAGCTTGATTGATTTTCTCCACAGCCGTCGGTGAATCTCCTGTTCAACGCCCTGCTTCTTCACAGTATTCTGATTGTTTTAGATGCGTCCAGCTTATTATGAATAAATATGCTCAAAAAGCAATTACTCCTCAGCAACTGGCGTAAAGTAAAAGCCACAGTACACTGCAAACAGGAGGGACCCTCTATCGGTTTGTAATAACCCCACAAAATAATTAAATAGTGACTACTTTTAATCACTTAAGAATATTACTACTTGTCTGGGGAAATGAAAGAAAAACCTTGCAGCATCATAGGCCAGAGGAAATAGTGGCCAGCAGACCCCCCACCACCACCTCTCCAGCTTTCCATGACCACCAAATCTGCTCACACAGAGTGTATACACACCACAGCTGTTATTTTTATGTCCTTATTCTCTGGGAGGGAAGTTGGTGGAGATTACGCAGAGCAGGGAAGACAGCCCTATTTTGAGAATCATTTCTTATGCTTCAGGGCTTTGATGGCTGATGAATTCCTGGAGCAGAGCTTGCACTTCTCCTCGCCGACTCATCTTGGTTGCCTTGCCCTGAAAGCGGCCTCGCTTCCCAGCTCCTTTGCCTCCCAGCAGCTCTGCCACCCTGCAGCAACAACAGCATATGCTTGATGCCCTCACTTGCAGAGAAGAGGGTGCCCTGCCCTAATCTGCTCCAGAGAGCAAACAGGGATCCATGCCCTAATTATACTGCTCAGCTGCTTGTTTGCTACAGTAGAATTTTTACTAATTTTAAAGAAGTCAACAGAATTTGTTACCTGGGACCTAAATTCTCAACTGCTTCAACAGGCCCAGCCAGAAGAAAGAGTCCTGCTTCTTTTTCATCTCCCACAGTCAGGAATAGCAGGGTTTCCTGTGGACAGAGACATGGGCCTTGCTCCAGACCAGCCAGTGTCCTCCTTGTCCAGAAGGAGGACAGAGATACTGGCAACAAGTCCCATCCAGACATGTAAACAATTTACTGGCTAGTGCTTACTACTGCGACCGAGACTCAGTTTGAGTAAACTAAAAGGGCGTAGGGCTGGGGGCTTCTGAACCGTTTATGCTGAATCACATGTTATGGGGGACAGAAGAGGGACTGGGGTATCCTAAGTTAAAACGGATGACATGGTTCTCTACTGCTCTTCGAGGGACAGGCTCTTCTACAGTGCTCTGAATTGTCATCATTGTATTTGTTGACCACTGAAGACTTCCTGCTTACTGAGGCTGCTGGGGATGATAACCTTGTGTAACTTTTGGAAGGAAACAGCTCATGGCTGTTGTACAAACAGAAACTGGCCAGCCCCCCTGCCTGTGCTATGACGCGGATGAAGAAGCTCCTGCTGTCAGGTTAGTCTTTATCAGTAACTCACCTCTGTCCCAATCTCATTAGCAATGATGTTCATGAATTCAGAGTCACCCTCTTTCCTGTATGGATAACAAGTCACTTCAGAGAGAGGCAAAAATCCCATCCAGAGGCCCAAATATCAATCACAACCAAAGACATTGACTACCCAAGCTTGTTTCTTGTTAGTTTTCTATTTTGTTTGTTTTTCTTAAGACTAAACTTTCACACTGGCTTCTTCTGCCATCAGAGAAGTTGAAAGCTAAAAATCTGTAGGACAAGTCTATGCTCACGCGTGGGGTTTTTGCCTCTTACTGTTAGGATGGAGATTAGGTTTTTTTCTATATATCTAAATCCTTGTTGTACATTCCTATGGACATATTTGGAAATTATTTAAGTGTTTATTTTTAACAAATGGAACTCTTCAGTTTTATTGGAAAGCACCAAGGTCAGAGAGAGATCAGATAGACACAATTATTTCTTAGCTATAAAGCCAAAAGAATCCAGTGACTGAACTGCTAACTTATTTCTTTAATTACACAACTTTCTTATACCACAGGTAGCTTAATATTCCATTTACCTTGTTTATATTCTTCCTAGAGGAATGTTTGACTTCTAAGCAGTAATTGTCATAAACAAGCTTGAATAGGTGTCAGAGATGCAACTGCCGTAAAACATGTAAGATACTATGGCCTCTTACCCTTTACCCTGAACTCCTCCCCCATACCTGTGTAACACAAACAGCTCACTTTGAATAGGTTTGCTTTTGAAGTCCCGGGCTATCAAAACAGCAATGTCTCTAAGCAGGTTCAAGTTATTCTGAAAGAAAAGCAAATAAACTGTACTGCAGATGGAGAAGTGAGTGTGAAGACTGAGTTGCATTCCCGGAGATGGGAGCAGTTTTCATAGTATCTAAAAAACTGATGCCTAAAATTCTATTCTCAGTTGCCATGACTAAAGCTGAGGCCTACAGAACGCAGCCACAATCTGCTTTTCTCAGCCATCCTCATACCTTCTGAAGCAGTTTCACAGAACTCTGCAACCTCTTCACAGCCTCTACGTGCTCACCTGGTCCATTTCTGAAACAATAAGGAGAATTTGGACTGCTACTCTGAAGGACAAAGAAAGGCTCTATTAAAGGAGCAAAGGCAGATAACGTATCGTTACAAACACTGGGTAGATGTAGCCTTACACTCATGTGATTTTTGTCAGAAGGAACAACAAAGATGAAAGACGGAAAGTGGAAAGGGTATTACTTGAGCAGCGAGGTTAGAGCCTTCTCAGTGTTGTAACTTTGTTCGATAGACTTCAGCACTCTATTTCCTGCCAGGAAAACCAAGTTCGTTTTGTTCTTTTTCCCTTTTTCTGTGCCAAGGAGTTTAATAACCTTAAAAAGAATAACACCCTGGTCAGAAAAGGAGAGCAGTATTTTGCTTGTCCACTCAGAGAGGTGGACAGCTCCTACTAGACTATGCCTTGTTGTGAATATTGACTCTCTGCCAATGAAACTAAACTCATTAAAATCAGCTGTAAGGTGTACACAAAAAAACCACAAGGATAGGGTAGAATTAATTCAATTTGCTAGCCATGGGCTATGCTTTGCAGCGCATCTGGATGTAGGACAAATTGTCTCTACTGGGATATAGACTGATTCCTCATGCAATAGCATCCGGGTATAGGATGTGAAAGGAAGACCCATTTGACCTACTACGCTGTTTCCTCAAATGACTGAAAAGACAGAAGCACTTAAAGGCAGTTCTAGAACTTTACCCCTGGCTCCCGGCACAGAGGATTTCTCAATCACAACAAACCCTCACGAAACGTCAGAGCTTTAAGCAAGGGAATAAATAGCTAGTAACATGGCAACACACCATCATACTAGCACCGTACGTCACACCTTGCGTAGAGACATCAGCAGTTCAGAAAATGTCACTGCTACAGGCAAGGGCTGGGTTCTGTTACAAAGAACCAAGGGAGCGTGTTTCCAGGACTGACTGGACAGAGCCTGCAGACCTGTGTACGGCCCTGCTGAGGCTCACTCAGCACAGAGCTTCCTCCCCCCTCACTTTATCACCTAGGACAATTTCCATCAGGTGCTAGATCTCAGGGATTTTTGCTGTGCTAGATCTGAATGTGCAGAGTCAGGCACTCAACTGCAGCCCCCTACCTGCAAGTCACTCAGGTTAGAGACATGAGTCCCACAGCACATGTTGGAGTCTATGCCTTCGATGCTTATAACTCGCACCGGCCCAGCGTGGTCATCTGGCAAACCCCGGCTTCTCACCTAGCAAAAGGAGGAACATGGCAAACAAGGTGTCATCCCTGCTGCAGTTATTTTGCTTCCTTGTCAGTTCCCTCTCCCATTACTCACTTTTTCAACCTCAGGGTCATCTGCAGCCAGTTCCCTCACTGTCACGGGTACCCGCTCACGGATTTTCTCATTCACACTCCTCTCCAGGGCCTCTACTTGCTCTGCTGTCATCGAGGGAGTGTCCAGCTCAATGACACTTCGCTGACGACCCAGCTCCCTGCACAGATGAAGAACATCTGCCACTGTAGCTAAGAGCAGCTGGAAGATCCCTCTGCACAGCACCAAGTGCCATGCAAGCGGAACTGTTGGGAATGTGGTGACTGAAACAAAACATACTTCCCTGCTCTCCCTGTTGTTTACACAGTGCCAGATGCATACTAAACATTTGGAGAGGGACAAGACAGAGCAAATACTTTGCACAGTTTCTCTCCAGTTCAGTCACCTCTCCCAGGCCCTCTGTGGTCAAGGAGAATGTCTGAGAGTAAACTGTTCTAGGGATTTATCAGCGTTCATCTCCTCATGGCGCAGCATGGTGGCACATGCCAAACAAGCTAAGACCGGGGTTAAAAGGAGCCTTTCCCTGCTCACCATGAAGTTGTCCTGAATCCAAACATCAGTTCTGCAATGGCAGTGATGAGATGTTGCCCTGAAAGAGAAGCGCAAGCAACAGCCTTGAGTTCTGCTGGATGCAGGGAAAG